TTAGACTGAAGCTCCCTAACAGCAGAGATGGAGCCAGCTTCTTCCATCTAAGGTTCCCTGGGGTCAGGGACACTGGAAGGTCAAGATCATAAGTTATCGAGCACTTATCACACACTGTTTCATGAGACCCTTACAATACCGAGAGGGGTATGTTTCCCTACCTGACACAAAACCAAGGTTCACAGAAGGGAAATAATTGTCCAGAATGCATTTGAAGCCTGGTTGATTACTTAGCAAACTATTGACCAGTCCCCACTCTTGGGACTGGGAGGGAGGGAGAGAGAGAGAGACCTAGAGTATAGCATTTTAGAGAGGAAAACAGAAAATTCAGGAAACAGACAAATAGAGAAATTCAGCTAATGATCAAGAAAATACAAAGGTAATAGGGGCACGTGTGTGTGGGTGATACTCTGGCTGGGAAAGTCAAGGGAGGCTCCTGAAGAGGCAACAGCTGGTCCAGTAGACCCCAAGGGAAGGCCTGTCACACAGAGAGAACACACAGAGAGAACAGAAGCCCTAAGATGGGATGGAACTTCCAGCCCATGACCTCAGCTGAAAAGTGTGACTGGAGCTGAGGGTGTGAGAGGTGGGTAGGGGCCAGATAACTCTACTCTCCTAAGCCTTGGGAAAGAAGGGATTCGAAGCTACGAAGGGACAGAAGGGGTGAGATGGAGGCAGGGAGGCCAGGCAGGAGGCTTTAGAGATGGGCATACACTTTAGAGATGATGCAGCCAGAGTCGTGAGGATGAGAATACAGTGGACCAGGTGTATGAGGAAATAGAGAGATAGAAGATGTGGGCCTGAACTGGGGAGGCCAGGGAGGGAGCAGACGTAAAGTGGAGGAAGATTTCGACCCTAAAACTCAAGCACTTTACCACTGACAGATATTTTGCCTTTTTCTTCTTTGTCCCTTTATTGCCCAGGACAGTGGTAGGTACCTCTTAGGTATGATGCAGGACAGGTCAAATTCTCTCAAGTAGTCCTGCACCGAGAAGGTTCTTGACTGAACACAACAAAGAATTCAAATGCACACGAGTTAGAGTCAAAAGGAAAGTTTATTAGAGAAGGGGTGATGCTCCATAGACAGAGCATGGTCTCCTCTCAGAGCCAAGTGAGAACCTGCAACAGACTCAGAGGGACAGAGAAAATATAGAGATGATGACAATGAGAGAGACAGAAGAAAAGACACTGAGAAGGACTCCAGAGTTTGTGGAATTCAGTTCATTTATCATTCTTAGTTGATGAATTACAATTTAAAGACTTTGTTAACCCATTTTCCTTTGATGATATGGGCATACAATGTGAAAAGATAAGAGTATGTAGCATGAAAAGGTAAGAATATGCAGTGTGAAAGGCATGCTGGCAGTTCTCAGCCTTTGAGTCATAGGTTTCCTATGGTTTTAGCCATAGGGAATGAATGATTTTATTTTGTGTGGGGCACGACTTAAAGACACTGTTTTCCTATTTTCCTTTCATGGTATGGGTAAATGGTTTGTTAGCAATCCCAGCAGAAATCTTCCTTTGTTCTGCAGGTTTCCTCCTGGTCTGGACTTGGGCTGATTATCATATTGCAGTCTCTGAATGTAGCTTGATTTAACATTTTACTTCCCTTGTCTCCTCCTTACATTAGGTATTCAATCAACCGATTCATGTATTCAATGAATATTTAATTCACCTACTAAATGTCTGGCTCTATCCTAGGCACTAGGGGCATACTAGAGAACACCACAAAGTCTTTGGCCTCTTGGAACTTACACTACAGCACTACAGAGGGAGAGGGGATGTGTGTGTGTGTGTGTGTGTGTGTGTGTGTGTGTGTGTGTGTGTGAGAGATGGTGATAAGGGGAGAAGGGAAAAGAGAAAGGAAAGGGTTATTTCAGATGTATATGGTGGTCATGGTAGGTCTTTCTGATAAGGTGACATCTGAGCCCAGACCTCAAAATAGTGAGGTGGTGAGTCTTAGATGTGAATATCCTGAAGGAGTACATTTCAGGCAGAGGAAACAGCAAGTATAAAGGCCCAGAGGTGGGAGAGTGCTTGTTGACCTACCAATACATCTAGTCCTTATTGATTCATTAATCAGTACCTGTGTCCCTGCCTTGGAATTCTCTAAGAGCAATGAGTAGGTCCTTCTCATCAGACAAGAATGGTCAGAGGGGTGGAGTTGGGGCTATTTCCTCCTTTTCTTTATGCTATTCCCCAACTTTGGCCAGGCCTAGAGGTAGGGATGGGAGATGGACAGGTATTGAATCTGTCACACTGTCTGGAGAAAAGGCAGAGAATGTTAAGGAAAAAGGGCAGGTTTTGTGCTGTCCCAGGAGCCACCACTTACCCCATGGCGTTTCTGGTTTTAACTCCGAGGGGTCCTTGTGGAGAGCTGATTGCAAGCTAACAAGGTCCTTGCAATCTGTGAGGTCAACCAAAGGTTGCCTCACCTCTATGAACCCTCCTAAGAATGGGGATAATCTATGGAAATGCAAACGATTATAGCAGAGTGTGTAGGTTGGGTGGGGACAATCTTATTTTAGTTAGCAATTGTATGCTCTTGTATAAAAGCAGCTTGCAAAAATAAAACTGGGCCACTACTCCATCATCAGTGGATAGTGCACCTCCTGATCCCAGCTTTGTCTTCTTTCTTTTCTTAATCTCCCACCATTCCCACTCAGGTACATTCTCCAGAGCCATGCTGGACGTGGCAGGATTTACCACTTGCTGGATGCGGCAGGTCCTATCTACCATTCCATTGCCACCACTGCCCCTGCTGGACCCTCATGGCACTGGGGATCCCCCTCCCTTCCAGACAGTCACTCTTGCTGAGTTATCTGCCTCTCTCACTATCTCACCAGGGGTTGGGGATATACTAAGGTAGTGCTTTGGATGCTGCCACAGCCCACTGAGCCCCAAGCCCTGGGCACTGTGGTGATATGTAGGAGACTCTGGGATCCTACAATGGAGAGGGCCAGCCCTAGTGACCAACTCATAGGCTTGATGACTGGTCCTCAGCATACTCTACCCAGATTCCCAGCTGCGTCCTTGGCCTTTTAACGACCATAAAATGATTAGAACTGGACAGTCACTTCCTCCTTATTATTCCTAAGTCATTTCTGCCTCTTCAGCTATCTTGCTGACAAGACATGTTGCTCTAAATTCTACTGATTCAAGACTTTCTATTCTTACCAGAAAAGCAAACACGCCTGACACAGAAATCTTAGAAGGCACAAGATGGGCATGGATTACCCAACTTGACAGTTCTGATTTTAATTCCAGGCACTCCTCTCCTAGTCACATGAAATGCTGCGGGCCCCAGTAACTGAAAAGTTCCCTTCCAAAGAGCATTCTAGACTCTGTAAAGGGTCCCCCAATAGGGCCAGGTCCTCCATTCCTGTCTCAGCCCCTTCTCCAGAGCCCAAGGCTGTGAAGGGAGGAGAACCTGGCTTCTGGGACCCTTGTTTGGGGAGAAGGCAGGTGAGGGTCATGGAGCAAAGGCCCCCAGCAGAGGGGGGCCGACCTGGCTGGGCCTGGTCAGCTCCCTTTCGCCCTAGCTCAGTGATTCTCAAAGCAGGGCCCTCAGACCTACAGCAGTAACAGCACATTGTTAGAAATACACAAGACCCACTAGGTCAGAAATTCTGGGGTAGGGCCCTGCAGTCTGTGTTTTAACAAGCCCTCCAGGTGATTTTGATGCAGAATTCTGGCAAGAACTCAGACCCAGACTTGTTCTGCCAGTTAAATCCAGTCCTGGTTCCTCATTGGTTCGAATGGGAGGCTGAGGGCATGGCCCTCAGGTGCCTGGGCCCTGAGGACTGGGTTTAAGGATTTTTTCTCTGGAAGCAGAGGGAATCAGATAAACATCTAACTGGGAGATGCACAGACAACTGTAACCTTCCCCTCTTCTCACATGGCTCTTGGGAGAAAAGAGGTAATTGTAGTTGTTTTGAATGTTCTTGGGTAAAGTCATGGGGTAGCTGCCTGCCTGCCTTGAATGAGCCAAATAATTTAATTTACATTTAGTTAGGGAGAAAGGGGATCTTGCTTTACCTTAAGCAGGATCCTCCCTCCTTACCAACACACTTCCCTACAACTGAGATGGGAAGGGTGGGTCTTAACTGGAAACTGCTGCCCTTGAACCTCCAGCCTAGTCCCATCCCTTTTTGGTGAGAACTCGGGCCCCATCAAAACTCCAGGAGGAACAATGACGTTTGTTTTGTCACATTTGCCTTTCTGATGGTCGCTGAGAAAGCTAGGAGGGGGATAGGTTTGTACATTCCCTTTTGGAGGAGAGAGAACTGAAGAAAGAAGGATTGTCCCAGATGGTACCATTCCGCTTACACTAACCGAGGGCCTCGCAAGACCCCTACCTTTCACAAATATTACCTCATTGTTAACCACGGCTTAGAAACATTAACCAAGCAGCCCGAGGTCACACAGCGCTGGCGATGAAGGCAGCAGAGCCCGGGTGTGAACCTCCTCTTTCGCTACCCGACGGACGCTCGACGCAGCAAGCTTGGGCTGGAACCGAATTCTTGGGCCCTTCCGCCGGCGCCGTCCGGCCCTCGAAGAATCTGCGCCCCAGGCGAAGTAGTCTCCGAGGTTGGGGAACAAAGGAGTGAGTCCGAGCCTGACGTCGGCTGGGGCAGCCCCTCCCCTATTGCCCCATCCTTCTCCCTCGGACTCGGGGGATCCTACCCCTGCGAGCCGGGTCCTCCCCGCGGTGTCTGCCCTACCCCCCTCCTCCGGCCCGGGGGCTCCTCCCAGCCGCCCCGCTGACTCAGCGAAAACCGAGCCGCGGCGTGCGGCGGGGGGGGCGGCCC